ACAGGACCATCCTGTGCTGCTTTAGTTTGCATTTGGTAAAAAAAACCAAACAAACAAAAAACAAAAAAAAAACCCTTTCTTTTGTGTTCTCTCTATTACAGATAGCTTTAGCCAAAGCTTGTGGGAATGGAAACCAGCTGGGGTTAGAAGCAAAATCTTCCAGTGAAATGGTGTCTCAAATCTTTCAAGCTTCCCTTCCTATCAGCAAGCAAAGTATCTTCACTGTACAGAAAGGAATGAATGAAACAATGAGGTAAAAACTCATATCTGGGAGTCAGGCCACACAGCAGAAACCAATGCCTATTTCCCTCTACATCTGTAGAAGGAAACAAATCTAGAATGAGGTCTGTTGGAAGATGGCATCTTTTTGCCTTACTCTTCTGTGATGCATTACTTACAATCAGAGAAACACATGACATTTTGCAAAGAGGAAGTATTCAAGCCCTTATTTCAAGCCCCGATGAAGAACTGAAATGACAGTAAATTCTTTTATCTGTCAAGACTAACAAGCTGTTCAAGAACTAGAGGCACTGTTTGACTTGTCAGAGGTACAGTTACTCTCCAGTTATCTTAGGTGGCCTTTAGCCTCCTAAATGATATGCCCTACCTCTTTCCTTGTGCAAGTGCCTATTAATTATAGGTTAGCTTCTAACTCCATTTCACAGACAATGTAAGAAGACTGTTGACCCTTCAGAGGATAACAGACATCTGGTTGTAAATTCTTATCTCAGTGCAATGTGTCGTTATTCTGAAAATTTTTCTGGTTGAATTTCTTGGTTGGAATTTTTGAGTGGAGAAGGGACTTGGTAACTAGGCATGGGGAAGGGTGTTCAGCACAGGTTTGTATGACTTCTAACTGCACAGATTGTCTTTCTTTCTTTCCTGTCTAGGTACATCCTGATTGATTGGCTGGTAGAAGTGGCTACCATGAAAGACTTCTCTAGCCTATGCCTTCACATGACAGTGGGATGTGTGGATCGTTATTTGAAGCTGAGACCCGTACCTCGGGCTCGACTACAACTTTTGGGAATAGCCTGCATGGTCATTTGCACACGGTAGGGGTTCTGACTGGTGAACAGAGGTGGTTGTTGCAATCATTCAAATTAATTTCTGTGGCTCAAGGTTTTTTCCCCTTGCTAATAATAATACTAGAAAAAATCTTTGTCTTCCCTCTATATTGACTGCTGCTTGAACTGTGTTCACATACAAACACTCACAATCTCTGCAAATGAGACACAGAATGTTATTTCTTTAACATGTTTTTGAATGTGAAAAACTCCATAGTGGTGGATTGGTCTAAATGCATTCCATCAGCAATTTAAGTTTTTCATGCCGTATTAGCATGAGTAACCCTGGAAGGAACAACTGCAGTGGTGTTGTTACCTAGTTTAGTCTGTTATGCTCAGATGAACAGCATGGTGTGGTGGAAAGTTATTCTTCTGTGTTAGTTCCTTTAATATCTTGCATCTTAAACTAGGAGAGGTTTCATAAATGAGGAATTAGGAATGTTCTAGTAGTAGGTGGTTCCAGCTTAAAGGTGAAATAAATGAAGAGCTGCTGTTCTTTCTTTCCTGGTCTGTACCTGGGAAAATACCTTATAAAGCTGTTTAAGTCTTTGGTCATCTTGGGTGCATTTATCTGCCACAAAACCAGTAGTGCACAGGTGCAGAAATTCCCTTTCTTCTCAATTAATGATTAATATTTAATATTGCAGTTTCATCAGCAAAGAGATCTTGACAATACGGGAAGCTGTGTGGCTAACAGACAACACATACAAATATGAAGACTTGGTCAGAATGATGGGTGAGATCATTTCTGCCCTAGAAGGAAAGATAAGGGTGAGTTTGGAAAGTGGATGCAATATTTCACCCCTTGGGCTGCTACTGAAATCAGGCTACTGTAATTAGCACTTCTACTCATCTAAGATGTTGGGTTTTTATGCCAGTATTCTCAATCAGCTGTGGAGACCATGTATATTTCAGAGCATGCAGATACAAACCCCTCTGCCTTTCTGTAGAGAAAGTTTAGTTTTAAGAGGCCATTTATTCTTTTGCTGGAGAATGTTTTAATGTCAGTGTAGTAGTTTAAAAAAAAAAAAAAAAACTACTGTAAAGAAAACATCTCCCAGAAACAGCTGTTCTAAATACTTGCTGCTTGTCTTGTAATGCCAACCTCTGTTCTCCTTTATGCACTAGATACCCACCATTGTGGACTACAAAGAAGTGTTGTCAAATGTAGTCTCACTGGAGAGAAGAACTCTTCACCTTTACAGCTTCATTTGTGAACTGTCACTCTTAAACACAAGCCTTTGCGTGTATTCCCCAGCTCGGCTGGCTGCTGCAGCACTGCTGCTGGCCAGGATACTACACAAGCAAGGTAAGGAACAGCCTCTTCAGTGGAGCTGCAGCAGCGTATGTCAGTCTACCTTGTCCTTTTAGGGAGGTGGGTATTTTTTTTTGGTGTTACTTTGTCTTTAGGCAAGATGTCCCAGTCACTTATGAAGTATAAGACTTCATAATGAAGAGTTGAGTTCAGTCTATTTTACCTCTTAATAGCTATGATGAACAAGAGTATTAGCATCAGACTATGCAAGCTTTGTGTTTAAATGAGACTGAAGGTTTCTGTACTTAAGTATTTAACTTCAGTTTGGCAGGTAAACCTATCCTTGAAGGTAGCTGTGAACTTGAACGAACTGTCTGCAGGCATAAGCTCGTAGAGATCATGATCTTTATCCCATAAGAGAAGAAAATCTGTCTGATTTCATGAAGCTTGGTAGTTCTGTAATGGTTAATATGTGTTCTCTTCTCTAGCGCACCCCTGGACCAGCCAGCTGTCTGAGTGCACTGGTTTCTCTCTTGAAGACCTGTTGCCCTGTGTGCTAAGCCTCCACCAAAAGTGGTAATAGTTTTGGAACTCTTCTGGGAGGGCACATGAGTATTTGCATTCCAGCTCTTGCAGACATGCTGCATCAATAGTCAGCCCTTCCCAGTGAAGGGTGTGGCTTTGGGAAACTGCCTTGTGCTCCCCACCACAAGGCACTAAGGCCTAGGGGCCAGTTCAGGGACAGCTTTCTCTTTCTCACAACTGGTAGTGGCCCTGGGTTACAGAAAATGTGATGCTCCTCAAGGCTTAACAGGTTTCAGCTTGCCGAACAGCACTATTTTCAGAAGACTGCAACAGGCTTGTTGGTGAGCTTCAGAAGGAGTTCCAGTAGCAAATGTAGCTCATTTTTTAAAGAATACAAGGCAAATATCTTGTTTATGTCAAGGAACAGAAAAGGAATTAGATGCTGATATGCTTAGAAGCCAAGTGTCCTGGCTAGCTGCTTAGCAGCTCTGCTGAAACACCAATGTCATAGAATCATAGAATTATTTAGGTTGGAAAAGACCTTTAAGATCATCCAGTCCAACCACTAACCTAAAACTACCAAGTCCACCACTAAACCAATTAAGGGTAGAGTAGTAATTTTGTGTTTCCTGGCTTGGTGGCTGGATTATTTTTTAATGAAAGTAAGAAGTAGGAATCATTAAGGTTGGAAAAGACCTCTAAGATCATCAGTCCAACCATCAACCCAACACCACTATGCCCACTAAACCATGTCCCAAAATGTCACATCTACCGTTTTTTTTGAACACTTCCAGGGATGGTGACTCCACCAC